GTGTGTGTGTGTGTGTGTGTGTGTGTGTGTGTGTGTGTGTGTGTGTGGCTGAGAGAAAATGTCATTATTTTAAGTTGCATTTAAGAATTCAGTGACAGTATTAACTGTTTTTTAATGATTCAGTCTACTTTTATTTTAGAAGACCTTAGTTGCAATTGAAACCAAATGTATTGGCAGAAATGTTTATTCAGTTGCACATTGCTGCAATTGCTGGAGGGTGACACGCGCGCTCTTAACTGTGTTTGTCGACGGGGCGTGTCGTTGTTTGATGTCAGAAGTTTGCATGAAGGTTAGCTCTTTTGTGAGCCTGCATAGTAAGTGGGAGAGTGAAGGATGCTGAATAAACAAAAGGTTATTTTTATTGTTACGTCTGTCAAATACCACCGACTCCCTCCCTTAAATCCGGCTAGTTTTTCCTTATACACACACAGACACACACACACACACACACACAGAGGGGGCCACTAAAGCCTTTATCACGAGTGTGTGACACTGTCAACGTCAGTAGTAATTGTCTGAAACAATGTCTGCTATGGCCTCCAACAGGCTAGCTGATTAGCCTGAGGAATGTGTTTGCCTAAGGAAGCAAAGCTAGCGCTAAAGCTAAAGCAGCGCTTATGATTAGTAATGACTGTGAGGCTGTGTGAGGGGACAATGTGTGGCAATATTGGGTTGCAGCTGACCTTTCTATCCTGTCATGCTTTCACATTGCAGTTGAAAAGAAAAAGGCGAAGGCTCTTTGTTGCATCGCTTAAAATCATAGCGTCTTAGTCAAATTGTGATGTTTTGAGTGGACAAATGTGAAGGTCCTCAAAGCACGGGGGGGGGGGGCTCTCAGAGTAAATGAAGTGGAATCATCCCTCCGTGGTGAAGTCGGGGTGGACTGAAGGCGGTTACTTGCACACTCCGTCTGACCTGAAATTCTTCAGGCCAGTTTCACTTTAAAGGGCTTTCTAGCTCTGAGGGAGGCCCCGAACATTTGGTCCCCTCCTCTCTGTTCGTTAGTTTCTCTGGCTGCTCTCCTCCCCCCCTCCCTAAACACTCTTTTGCCAATATTTTCTGTCTCCTCACCCTTCTCCCTCTCAGCCCCTTCCCCCCCCCCCCCCCCTCCCTGCTGATCCCCTTTGAGCTTGAGTGAACCGCAGGAATGAAGGTGACAGGTACATGGATGGGAGGAGAGGAACAAGACAAGCTAGAAACCTAGAATACGGCTGGACTGCGTATGGTCAGTGTGCTAAATTGTGGCCAAATTGTTGATACAAATTGATATAGTCAGCAGTGGTGTCCATAATGTGAATTCATGGATATTAAATGTTCATCGGTAGTGATTCCAGTTATATTTGTTTATTGTGTACAGAAGAACCATATAACATGTTTAAAGGAATACTTCATCCCCAAAATGATCATTTGTATATTAAACACTCAACCTGTGTCACCTTGAATTTGTGAAGAAAACTTTGCTTTTCTCACATGCCTCCACAGAGAATGAAGAATCAACTAGAGCAGATCTCCGCTGGGTGTGTCTGCAACGACCACTACTGTATTGAATGAATGCAACCCACAGTTGGCTAACCCCCTGTCTTGACACAGTAGTTCTGTTAGCTGTTAGCAGTTAGTGGTTAGCTAAATACACTGTCCAAAATAATAAAAGTGAGCTGCAGAGCGACCGACAGGTACACAGTATGTGTAATGGTAGTTCCGTTAGCCCTTAGCCAATCACATGGCAAACTGTTATTCCCCTGCTGTGGCCTCAGAGTAGCAGATGGGGGGGGGACACTCAGCTGTGTTATCACTAGCAGCCCCTACTGTTAAGAGTAGTGAGTGAGGAGTCAGAGGGCAGTCAATGGCAGTACAAAACAGGCAATACAAGTTTTTTTTAAGTGTGAGTCATCGCAACAACGAGAGGTCCTTGAGCAAGCAGTCATAACTGGGCATAAAAATATTATGCAGTTTGCTGCAGTAGAATGCGAAATTAGCCATGGACAGACATAGAGGTCACTCACTCACAAAGGCACGCATGCATACAACTGGTCGCCGCATGATGCTCCTGGCGGAGATGAAAACTGAATAAAATTCTTAATGAATTGAAGTAAATGGGGGTCACGTTCAACGGCAAAACTATATCAAAGCATCCGTTGACTAACTCCCTCACAACTCACAAAGGTATAATCCAAGTCTCGTTTATCCAGTCATGTGCTCAGTACTTGCAGAAGTGTTAAATAGTAAGGTTTTAGTGAAGACGCATGTGTTTGTGTTAGCTGTACAGGGCTGTGTCTTAGTGATACTTGATATTCGGTGCACAGTGACACATCAGCTCCTCAAAAACCAGGGACAGAAAACAGATATGTTAAGACACCGTGCTTCATCCTGTCTTAGTCAGCAGGCTGACAGTTGAACTGGCTGAACCACAGTGTGAGGACATCATGTGTCCCGAAGGGGTCAGCCGCAGTTCTCACTTCTCTTCTGCTCATTGTTTCGCTCGTTTGTGGTCATTTACTGCAACGGACTTCGAAAATGCATGTGTGCAAGAGACACTGGTACAAAATGTCCCTTTTGTTGTTTTGTATTTATCGTCAGTAAACAATTAGAGTAGTGTGAACTAAAATTAAGCAGTTGCAGACACCAAAAAAACCCCACAGCAGGAAGCTTTTTGTAAAAATTAGTTTCTTCAGTCGTCTGAGAGGAACTGCTGCAGGAAAACAGTGTGGCACTAAACGCCGTGGTGTACTCCTCCAGATCGTATCGCTCCACAGAAACAAACAGCGGGACCTCTGGTCTGGTGACACGCTACTCATTTACTTATATGGATGACTTGTAATAACTGAAGGCAGTCATACAGGCTCTCCGGCCGAGATACTGATTACCAGCACTGCTTTATTGCTGACTTTATTCCTGCTTATTCACAGGTTTGTCTATGTGGTAGATTCCATTGTGTGAGTGTGTGTGTGTGTGTGTGTGTGTGTGTGTGTGTGTGTGTGTGTGTGTGTGTGTGTGTGTGTGACCCTGGCCTTGAAAGAGAACCAGCTTATCAGAGATAACCAACAAAGTCTAATAAGCGCTCTCTAATGTGAATACTTATGATTTATTCAGAGTTAAATAAATGTGTCTCAGCTTGAATCAAATGTCAGCGGCAGGGTTGTAGCGTTAAAGTTTGATTTATGGTCTGCCGTCATGAACAAAACTCATTCATAAGCAATGATGTATGTTATTATCCATAATACACACCATCTCTTTTCACTTTGCATTCATTTAAAGCACAAATCTGGTAATATCTAACTGAAAATAGTCCCGAACAAATGCAGATTTCACACCTGTTTGAGTTTGCTAGAAACTACAATGCCTAGCTATTTTTAGGAATTTTACTGAAAAAATGTTCTTGTGACCCAAAGATTGATCTGTCTTCATAAGAATGGGCTTTGGTCTGAGAGCCACGGGCAGCGTATAGGGAAGTCAGAAAGTGCTGGATTTGTTTTTTGTCTTTTGACGAAAAAAAAATAGATCAGACCCAGTGCGTGTGGTGTGAAGTTTCGTGGCGCGTTTGTGTGCCTGACAAATGATTTAGTGAACTCGTACAATGAAAGAGGTGGCGAGAGACTGTGAATAGTTTTTTTCCACTTCGCGGGTTCACCTGTGGGGTTCAACGGTTGAACCTGATGGACTGTGCGGTCACCGGAACGCCTCTGATGCGTGTCTGAGTCCTGATTGGCTCTCACTAAATGACTGACAGTTAATCTTTGATTCAGATTGACAACCACCGCCCCCCCCTCGGTTTCGAGGAAGGCCTGATGTTACTGATCTGTGATCCTGCTCCCAGACACCCTGCGCCTTTTCTATCTTTTGCACTCATGCAAAATGATTGCGCAAAATGCTATGAAAACACACACATACACCTTCACATACATACCGACACATCTTTTTGAGATAATTTGTATTCAGTTCTTCCAGGGTCAAGGTAATTGATTTCACAGTTTGATTGATTAAAGGTGCTACAGTCCATAGTGTACCGCTCTTATTATTTGTGCTTTAATCTCTTGGTTTTTCATCATTCTCTGGTCTTTATACTAAATAGACTTTCTTCTTGCCTGTTTACTCAGTCGTTAAGGAGTGGGGCCGGTTTCAATGGCAGCTGAAACTCACTGTTGACCACACACTGTGTCTTTCATCTCTCTCTCCCCCTCTCACCCCATCTGCTCTCTGTGTCCCTCACTCCCTCTTCTTTTCTCGCTCTCCTCAGAGCGCCGAGGGGAGAGTTTTTTTAGACAGAAACTCTCGGAGCGGGTGACGCTGTCGCTCCTCTCTCTGGCTGTTTTTCTCTCTCTCTCTGTCGTCTGTCTATCTGCTCTCTTGACTGCCCAGGAAGGTGTGTGTTGTTTGCTTAAGTTAAGCTGTGCTAGGAACGCGTTTGCCGTTGTTATGTACATGCCCGAATACACACACACACACACATACACACACTTACACACAGTTGTAGTCTTGTGCTGACACGACAAATCTCTCTGGTGGTAACTCCCAGTCAGAATTTCCAAATGTCCGCTCAGAGCAAGACAACAACATGAGGAAGTAGTCAAACCCCGGATTCAACGTTTCCTGCCGTTTTGTCCAATTTCTGCAACTCTAAGCAGAAAACCCCTAAAACCCACGAAAACTACTTTTCCCATCAGACCCCTCTCCTCCCTCTAACATCACCCAATGTGTCTTCATTGCTAACAGGGTGAAGATTTGCAGGGTTGTGCAACAGCTGTTTCTTTTTCAGTGGTGGAAGAAGTATTCCGATCCATTAAGTGCCAACACATTAATGTATGAGTGTCATCGACAAAATGTAATTAACATATCAAAAGTAATCCCCTGTGACAGATGTTATTATATACAGCTTTATTAGATTGCTAATCATGATGCATCAGTGCGTACATAAGATTTTCCTGTTGTAGCTGGTTGAGGTGGAGCTAGTTTTCACTATTTTGTAAGGTATTTTGCTGGCGGTCAGATTCCTCTAAAGGGCCACAAGATAAATGTGAGGGGTCATGAGATGATTATGGGAAGACACAAAAACAAATCTGTATTAATTTTCTCTCTTTTCTGTAGTCGTTCTTCTGCAAACAAACAATTTGAGGATTTTACCCTTTTTTTGGGGCTAAAAAAAATGCTGAAATGAAATCATATCAGAAGGGAAATCTTTCTTTTGAGAAGAATCATATAAAAATGTCAAATCTGAAAAGAAACTATCAACTACAGCTGTCAGATAAATGTACTGGACTAACAGAAATAAAATATTTTCTACAATATCAAGTATGAAGTAGCGTAACATAGAAATACTCAAGTAAGGTACAGGTACCTCAAAGTAGCACTTAATTATAGTCCTTGAGTAAATGTAATTCGTTACTTCCTACCTTTATCCATATGTACATTTCAGAAATACAAAACCTTCTGCTACAGTTCTTCAGAAGTAGGGCTGGGATCCGCCCACATAGCACATACACACTCTAACAAAGTATTGCTTTAGCTCCACCCTCACCAGCTCTCATGCCTGCAGCTTTGGCTCAGTGTGTGTGTGTGTGTGTGTGTGTGTAGAGGAGGCTGGCCTCCGTGCTCAGTGCCCTGCTGTACCTGTCTCTCATGGAGGTGGACTAACACTCCCAGAGCAGGCGGGCCAAGCAGCGGAGCACTGTGCAGCAACAGAGGGTAGCTATATCCTCCCGTCCGACCGCTCTCCGCTTCTCCTTCCTCTTCTCTTCTCCGTCAACATCCCACTGCTGCAATGTCCTCCTCGAGATTTCTGCTCTGTTTCAGTCTCACTTCCCCCCCCCCCCCCCCTCTCTCTCTCTGACTGTCTTTGGTTTCATGGGGGCTCTCCTACCTTAAACGACTTTGTGACTCAGCAAAGATTATTTGTAAACCGTAATGTCTATGAATTTGTATGAAATTTGAAGGCAGGCTTGAATAGTATTTTGCATGTGTGTGTGCCTTAATGTGTTTGTAAGCATTGATGTTTCATTGATCCTCTCTCTGGCTAACTTGTGACCTTGCTGTCAGGGGCTGCTGGGTAGTCACACAGCTAAGATGGCGACTTCCTTAGGCCTGTTTTGTCCGGCACACTGGATCAGTGTCACTCAGGATAGAACAGCAAACTAAGAGACGCATTGTTCCTTTTCGTTGAACACACACTTTTTTTCTTTGTTGTTTTTTTTTGCGGCGTAATCTGCAATAAATTGGGAGCCAGAGAAGAGGTTTGCTGGCTTACAAACTTCTGACTAAGAAGAGCATGTGATAGCGGTGTTGGTTTAATGTCAGGTCGGTGACATGGAGAATAACACATGTTCTTCCTCTTTTCTGCCTGTGAGGAACTTTAATACCACCGTGCCTCGTTTGCTTATTTGAGGTAAAAAGATTGAATTGGCCGGCAGTAGTCAATCTGTGTTTATGGTATAATACGGAGGAAGCCAGTAAAAGCACTTTTGTCTGCTCATAAAGCCATCCGGTCAGCAATAACATGCTGTTAATACGTAGAGAATCAGGTGCTCACATCAATCATAAACACAATGTAATGGACAATCTCCGCGGCAATAACGAAACACTAAACACTTTAACCCGGTGGGTTGGCGCTGTTACCCAATCAAATCTTTGCTCTTTAACTTCCTCTGCAGTGAGCAGGCCAGCCAGCTCTTCTCTCCTGCGCTACTCTGAGTTCATGACCTTTGACCTGGTGAATTCTGTGCATGTCTGGGTGGGTTATGATTTACCTAATAGCTGCTATAGCCGTTCCTGTTGCGCAACAAAGTGGTAAAATCTGGATAGAACAATCATACATACGTTGTTGTCACTTTCTAAAATCCTAGTTTTTTTTTTAAAAACGGAGGTACGTCGACTTTAAATCTTTACACTCTCTGCAGGTGAAGGCTGTGATTTGTTTGTCACGGTTAATCATCTACCTGGTGCTGCCTCAGTTTCCTTGCTCTCTCTCTCTCTCTCTCTCTCTCTCTCTCTGTCTCTCTCACACACACACATGCTCGCATACACCCATGATTGCATACACTCATGTATAAGGTCCAAGGTTTCTGAGTGGTGGAGATTTTCAAACAAATTATTGTCTTTTGTCACTTTATATTCTTTTCTTAATTTATTTTTATGTGGCAAGACTTCCCTACTGCTCTTGTTGCCTTTTTCTTTCTTAATTAACACAAACCTGAGTCTGGAAAACCTCAGCACAACAGTGGTCCACACTGAGGAAGTTAGGAAAATCTCCAAGTGGTCAAAAGCAGAAATAGGTTACCCCTACGCTGAATGGCGAATATATTGTATTTTTGACATTCACAAAACATCCAGTTACTGTCAACTCTTTTTTTTAAAGAGTCCTAAACTGACTTCAACACTCTGCTATACAGAGTGTCAACCTTGCAGTGTTGCACAGCTTCTTTTTTTATCACCTCACAGAACTCCCAAAGTGAATATTGTCCTCCCTTTGTCATCAGTCTGGCAAGATAAGGCTGATAAGAGATGGAGTCATGTTAGCACTTCACACGATAGAAGGAACAGAGGGAGGGCACGTCGCGCAGTGGAAGCAGAAGGAAGGCAACGCAGACACATAAGTAATAAAAAAAAAACGCTGTTAATAATGAGAACTGCATCCTCATTGAGCTGAATGTGTTCCTACAAACTACATGTCGTAATAACTGATGTCTTAATATAATCTAATGTCACCTTGACTTATCACCCCATGCGGCAACCAACTACTGGCTAAAGATAGAAGGAGGAAACATCATCCTGTTCTCCCCCACTCTTTTTGTTGTTGTTTTTTTCCCTCTTTGTTTTGACCTTTGTGTCAAATTTATCCATTTCCTGCACATATCAGGAAATGGATAAATTAATAGTTTGCTTCAACTAGAAATATATTTAAATTTGTATGATGCCTCTGCAGAATTTTTTTAGATGTTATTTAAAGCATTTTATTCACTGATGTTTGCATCATTTTTGCTCCTCCGTGGTGTGCGCTATACTTTGCAGGTAATTCTAAGCTCCCCAGCCTTGGGCGAACTAACCAGTGAACAGGTGTGTGTGTGGGAGAGTGTGATATTGGGTCAACTCAAATAAGTGTGTGTGTGTAACCATGGCTGCTCGGCTTGGTTGCGTTTTACCTTTGTTGACTGCCTCACCTATTTTCATCAAAGTCCAGACAATCCTGTGACGCACAAAACGCACACACTGCCTGCCCAACTAGCAAGAGGTTGTTTGTTATTTGGCCTATTTGCTTACATGACGTTTGGTCTGACAAGAAGTAGTTTGCTTTACAGTCTCTTGTGATTGGCTGTCTCGGGTGTTGGAGATTTGGGGACTTAAAGTACAGTGGATTTTTCCCTTCTGAATGCTGGCAGTGTTGGAAAATAACAGAGTAAGAGGTTTATGCTTGGGAAGCCGATTTCTGATTGTTCTCTGTTCCTCTTATCGGGCTGCAGCCCTTAATGAAGTGGCATACACACTTAAACACACACACACACAGACAGAAAAAGAGCTGCACCCACACACTGTAAAACATTCATAAGATAAAGAAGTTGAAAGTCCAACACCCTCTTGTGGTGAGTGCGCAACAGGTTCATGTGTAAGATAGATTATGGTGCACAGCTTTTTATCACAGCCTGGGGGGTCATATTTACACAAAATTCCTCATATAGCTTAACTCCAACTTGTCTAACTTACTGCTGACACACACACACATACACACATAATGAGCATGTGATCTAGTCGTACTCAGTGAACCTTGAGCTGGAGGTTTTAGGGTTTACAGCCCTTCATACTCTTTGATAGGGGTCGGAGGTCAGCAAGGGATCTGAAGAACTCAACAAAACAAGGTTGTAAAACCACTGATAAGGCAAGGTGCCCTGGGGATTTATGGATGTTGTATTCTCATTGTTATGTCAAAGTCATTGTGGGCCTTTGTTAGTCTGTTGGCTAGGCAATCGTGCATGTGATTGTACCTGCAAATTGATAATCATTTTGTTTCAACAAGCATCCATATTATGTTTTTTTGTTGGTACAGACACATTTAAAAAGATGGCTTCTGAATATGGCCATGTTTTTCTTATTTGTCTTCTTTCTTGTGTTCCTTGTGCCCTCTTGGAAAGCAGTTGTGTTTGATATAATTCACTACAATTTGATTAACCTGTCTCTCTTTGCCCTTTTTAGGGCCCAGATCTGATTGGATGGTTTTGTCAGAATGACAGCCGAAGATCCTGCTTCCTCATCGACCATGAGCAATAACGCTGCCCCCACCAAACCCTCTCAACCTGCTGCTGCCTCCCACCAGTCTCTTCATGGACAGATCGACATCCCAGAAGGAGTTGTAGGTGCTCCCAATGAGCCTGCACTGGTATCCCTGATGGAGCGCACTGGCTACAGCATGATCCAGGAAAATGGTCAGCGTAAATATGGCCCTCCTCCTGGTTGGAATGATGCATCTCCACCAAGGGGATGTGAAATCTTTGTGGGCAAGATCCCACGGGACGTTTATGAGGATGAGCTGGTGCCAGTGTTTGAGTCCGTGGGATGCATCTATGAGATGCGGCTGATGATGGACTTTGACGGGAAGAACAGAGGGTACGCATTTGTGATGTACACAAAGAAACATGAGGCCAAGCGGGCAGTACGCGAGCTCAACAACTATGAGGTGCGGCCTGGGCGACTGCTGGGGGTCTGCTCCTCCGTGGACAACTGCCGTCTTTTCATTGGTGGTATCCCCAAGACCAAAAAGCGGGAGGAGATCCTCGAGGAGGTTTCAAAGGTGACAGAAGGGGTACTAGATGTGATAGTTTATGCCAGTGCTGCAGACAAGATGAAGAACAGAGGCTTTGCCTTTGTAGAGTATGAATCGCACCGTGCAGCCGCCATGGCTCGCAGGAAGTTGATGCCTGGACGTATTCAGCTTTGGGGCCACCAGATCGCAGTGGACTGGGCCGAGCCGGAGATTGATGTGGATGAAGACGTTATGGAGACAGTGAAGATCCTCTATGTCAGGAATCTTATGATGGAGACCAGCGAGGAGACAATCAGACAGGTGGGACCGGCTGACTGTTTAGTTTAGAGGTTTCATAATTCATGCTTTTATCGGGTAAAATGACATACCTAACAGGAATAGGTACTATAGCTTACCATTCTTAACCACCCATTTTCTCTGTCAATCAGGTGTTCAGCCAGTGGAATCCTGGATGTGTTGAACGTGTGAAGAAAATCCGTGACTATGCCTTTGTCCACTTTACCTCCCGGGACGATGCTGTCACAGCCATGGACCACCTCAATGGCACAGAGGTGGAAGGGTCCTGCATCGAGGTGACGCTCGCCAAACCAGTTGATAAAGAGCAGTATTCGCGCCAAAAGGCCTCCAAAGGAGCTCCTGCCACTCCAGAGCCTGCTCAACAGAACTACGTTTACCAGTGTGATCCCTACACATTGGCCTACTATGGTTATCCCTACAACACCCTCATTGGACCCAACAGGGACTACTTCGTCAAAGGTTAGAATTCATTCTTTCTGCTTTTGTACCAGTGATGATCAGTTGCAAAAGCCAGTGTTTCTCTGAAAGCCATCTATTTTTGTAAATGTCGGTGGCAGCAGAAACTCAATGGGCCAATGCACTGCAAACGGTCTGATAATGACATCCAAAAGATGCTATTGTAGGAACAATGACTCCATCAATAGGGAGCTATGATTTTTTAAATGGTCGTGATGACTAAGGTAATGATGATTTCATCTTTGATGACTAGATTGTCATTTGACAAAAGTTTTAATATCTTAACTTGATTAGGGTTTGTGGCTTAAAATCAGAAATGTGTTGTTAAAAGCAAAGACAAAACAAGGTGATGGACCAATGAATGCTAATCCCATTATCTCTGATGATTGATTGAAGATGGTGTTTGGGTGGTAGCAGAAAAATCTATTTGACTTTCAACAATCATTGTGTTTTGGTTTTTTCTCCAAAGGATCCCCAATGATACAGAACAATGGTAATCTCTCACATCCTTATTCCTACTTATCTCTTCAATGAACAATGACTTCTTGCAATGTGACAAACTATACATTTTCTAACACCATCCTTTTCCCGCTGTGCTGTCACCTCCCATTTCATGCTGGTTTATTGCAGCGATCACAACAAAGCTAAGAACGTCTAGGAATATCATTTCACAGTGCCATACACTTGCATAACTGCATCTAATTCAAGAGTCAGAGCAGTGCTCAGGAAAAAGGCCAAACGTACCCAAAGAACTCCAAAAATATCCTGAGCTCAGAACAGATATTGTTGAGAAATTTCCAGTAGCAATTGCACTTTGTGAGCAATCGTTTCCATTAAATTAGAGCTAAAGGACTCTTCTTGCTGCCTCAGTCCCAATATCTTGGGAGGAACTGTCAAAGAAGTTCTAAACCCATCAGGAAATCTTGCCTTACACGTCGCCCCACACAACTTTCAGTATAAGTTGCCCCTACTGCCCAAGTCCAAAACCACAACCCCTGTCATCATATTACTTTAATTGTATTTTAAGCAGGTACTGTGCGAGGTCGTGGTCGTGCTGCTGCAGGTAACCGTACCCCTGGACCACGGGGGTCGTACCTGGGGGGTTACTCTGCTGGTCGTGGCATCTACAGCCGCTACCATGAGGGCAAGGCCAAGCAGCCCGAAAAGCCCTATGAGCTGATGCCCGGTCTGGAGCTTGCTGCCTCCGTCAACACCGTTGGCATCAAACCTGGCACAAGTCAGTGAGATAGATATATCCATCCATATCCTTGCCCATCTCAAAAGCCTTTATTAAACCTTCCAGCTCATAATTTTCTGTCTCTCTCTCCTGTGTGGTTTGAGGAACGTAAATCAGGATTATGGTTGTTGCTGGATGGTCAGGCGCAAAAGGACTTCCCTTCTCTTTGTAGTAAAGAATAATGACACAAAATATCTGTCCTTTCTAGCATGACCAGAAAGTAACTGCTATAATTTGTTCCTCATTCTTTCCCTTTCTCTCCATATCAGAAATTTGTCTTACCTGGTGTTCAGACAAAAAACAGCACTGTGTTAAAAGAACACAAGGGGCTTCGTTGTTGGTAGCGCAGTATTGAGACCATGAAATGTGTTTAAGGCTATCAGACGCTGAAACATTGCGCTGTTCAGCAATTTATCCTCTGTCATGACGGTCACCAGGTTAATGGTAGAAGCACCCTGGCCACTTTACAAAGTAATCTACCTGGAACATATCGAATTCTGTTTAGGCAAAAGCGTTTTCCAGATGAGACTACATTTTTTGTTTGTTTGTTTTTTGCTGCATTTTGGGCAACCCCAATGCATTGGTTTCATTAACCTGAATAAGGAAGCCATGTTTCTTTATGCAGTGCTGTTGTCTGTCTGAACATGGCCATCGTTATGTAGGGACCAGTTCTTCCACAATCTCCTTTTACACACTGGTGTAAGGTGGTTGATAGTATCTTGAATGTAAAACAAACATGTATTTCCCAAAATATTTGCTTTTCATAAAACCAATATAAAAGTTATTTTTGAACATCAACTCAATGAGTTTAGTTCTCGTAAGAGCAGCTGCTTTAGCTTTGTTAGCGTTATGACACTTTCAGTCAAGAACGGAGTTGAAATGCAAAACTAAACGCACAAACTAAAGATCATTTATCTCCTCTTTCCTCTTGTGTCTACTCTCTTCTGATCACTTAAAGGATGATACCAGTGTTATGTAGGATGGCAGCCCAACTACTGCTGTATACATTTAGTCTACATGATCACTATCATGATTTTGTTTTGTTTTGAGGTCTACAGTGTAAAGCATAGGGGTAAATTAGCTGCCGTCCCAACAAAGAAGACACATGACCCTAAAGTTGTAAGGTGGCTTCTTTTTAAAGGATTATTTCCTTCTTCTTTCTTCCTTCTTTCCTGACAGTAAGCAGAAGGAAATGCAAATGCAATGAGGGGGGGGGGAACTAAAACACAAAAAAAGGGCTTCATGTTTATGTAGGTGGATCATGTAAATTCAAAATTTCAAGTATATTTTTATACAGTACAACAATAAAAGACTTCAATGATAGAAAAAAAATTCACACACTGGTATTATTCTTTATTACTAAACACAAAAGTGACTCAATCCCCCAGATAGTTTTTTCAACATAACTTTTAATATCAAACTATTTGTCGTCAATATTAATGTATTTGGTGATCAGAGGTCCATATCGTAAAGTGGACGTTCCTGATGCTCCTTTTAGAACAAGTTGCCCCCAATCTGGAGCTGGCTTTTTAGTCCGTGTAGAATCACAGGATCCCCACCGGATTGAAAAGACTTTTGTCCATCTGAAACAATGACTTACGTTGTGCTCCCTCTGTGTGTGTATGTTTGTGTGTGTGTGTGTGTGTGTGTGTGTGTGTATGTGTCGGAGCACTGAAGTTAATCCACAGTTGAGCACCATCGTAATCCGAATCACAACGGCAACTTGTGCAACTTTTTTTTTTTTCCTTCTCCACTAAATTGTTTCCTTCGTCCTTGATTACTTTAGCAGTAACTCCTTTCATAAATTGTTATTTCTTGTTATGTGAACGCAAATACAACCATCGCTCGATACACTCTGTTGTTTGCAGCGGTCCTGTCTGTCATCCAAGCTCTCATTCATGTGTCTCTTTATGTGCAGTGGGGTTGCCGACTCTGGGTGGGCAGTACCCGATGTTCAGCACGGCTCCTACAGCCAAGATGATGGAGGAGGGGAAGGTGCACACGGTGGAGCACCTCCTCAACCCTCTGGCCATGCAACACCCTGAACACACCACCGCTACTGCTGCTGGCACCGTCCTACCGTCGGTCTCTACCCCTCCACCTTTTCAGGTGTGCATTATGACACTGTTAGAGGTTTCACAGATACAATTTGTCAAATTTTGATTCATGCTGATAAAGAAGTAAAATATCCAGCGCCATCGCAGGGCATGCATGGGTACTGCATCATGCAGTATCTATGGATCAAATTTTACACCAAATTCCTCATAAAGCTCGAAAAAGTAATACACTGAATCAGCATTGCACTATTACAGAGTTGTATCAAATTTGCTGCAGTAGAACAGCAGTCGTTTTTATTCAATGCATTCTTCTCCTTTATCAAAACCGGGCGCCTACATAGAGAGGCGAAGTCCCGCCCCTTCCGGTTGACCACCATGGGACCTTATTTCGGAGAAAATATGTACGGTAGTCAATGGCAAGAGACAAATAATTATTTGATCCCGTTTGAATTGTGCCAAGATTTACACAATTCAAAAGATAATCTTTCACGTCAAGAGAGTTTTGTCGTGAAAACTGTTGAAGTATAGGACTGAAAATATGTTATTAGACTACACACCCAAAAGTCGCGTAAGTGAAGTCTCTCGCTGACATTTGTGCGTGGATCAGCGCTAAGTTACCTAGCTAGCTAGCAAGCCGAGGTAACGGCCTTGTTGGTGTGAGACCAGAGATGTCGTTCACTGATCGGTTCCACACAGGCGTCAACCTCCGGTTCTGCCGATTGAAGCCAATGCTGAAGTGTCTTAACTTGCATTATCTTTACTGACCAGCAGGGGGCGACTCCTCCAGTTGCAAAAAGAAGTCTGTGTAGAAATCTATGAGAAAATTACCCTACTTCTCACTTGATTTATTACCTCAGTAAACATTGTAGATTGGTTGCGAAAAAACACAACATGGAGATGGTCATATTCCAAAAAGACGACGGCGAAATTGCTGAACTCAAAGCTTCAAAACGGCAGTCCACAAACCAATGGGTGATGTCCCGATGACTACGTCCACTTCTTATATACAGTCTATGGTTTCACACAAAACTAAAAGATAATACGGCAAACCTAAGACAAACTGTGACTTTCTTGACTGGCTAAATTATTTTTACATAGACAAACATCATTTGTTTAATTCATGGCACGATTCAAACGGGATCAAAAGAATAATTGTCTCCTGCCGTTGACTACCGTTCATATTTTTTCCGAAATAAGTTCCCATGGGGGAACCGGACGTGGCGTGACTTAGCCTCTCTACTAGCCACCACGCAACTCTGCAACTGTGTTAAGCTAGTAGCCGCTAATATAGCCTTGAGTCTCGAACCTCAAACTGAGATTAGGTGAGGATTATAGAGTAAATATAGTGGAGTAAAATGTACAATAGTTACGATCCACCACTGATTATATGACAGATTAAGTATTCATACTCTGGGAACTTTATGTCAGATTGTTTAAGGTTCATAACTCACAAGTGAATGCATTCATTCAATGAATGTATGCTTTACAAATCCTCTTACCCACCATAGTCCTCTTTTTTCTGCATTCCCCAGGGCCGTCCCATCACTCCGGTCTATGCCATGGCCCACAACGTACAGCGTATCCCAGGGGCCGGTGGCCTTTACGGAGCTGGATATGTCCCCATCTCAAACTACACTGCCAACACAGCGGCTCTGGCCGCTCTGCAGAAGAATGCGGCGGTGGCTGCTGCGGCTGCGGCGTACGGCGGGTACGCGGGCTACGCGATGCCACAGGCCTTCCCCGCCACGGCCTTCCAGCTGCCCATCCACGATGTCTACCATACGTATTGATTCTGAGGGTCAGACCTTGTGAAACAACGACAAAGTTACCCTCTGACTGAACCGCCACCACCACCATGTCTGTCCCATCGTACAGAAATGTCACTTGAACATCCAAAAGCTCTAAAGGAATGTCGTTTGAAGCAAATATCTCGAAAACAAACAAAACAATGACCTACAGGTCTCAGTATATCCTGGACCCGAGGCAACAATATGACAGGCTTAATTATGACAATAATAACAACCACATCTCTGTCTCTCTCTGTCTCTCTCTCTGTCTCTGTCTCTCTCTCTCTCTTTCTCTGTCTCTGTCTCTCTCTCTCTCTCTCTCTCTCTCTTTCTCTATGTCTCTGACCCCTGTCACCGTGTTGCTACGCAAACAGAAACACTGAAGGTACATTCAAGTATTTATGATGAAAAGATACATATTTAAGGTTTTACTCTCTGTAGGTTTCCCCTATTATCAGAGCTCTCTGAAGCAGGAACGATAGACCTTCACACTGTCACAATTTTTTAAAAGTGTGGGGGTAAAAAAAAAGAAAAGTTATTTGAAAGAAAGTAAAAGTACAACAGGAACTACTGACAGGCAGGATGCTGCTGAAGACAGCTGTGTTTGGATATACTAATGTTTTATTTTTATTAATATAGAGTATTTTAGCCAATTATACATACTGTAGGCGATGCTGTCCGTCCATGCTGGTTGAATGTGTAAGCTTCGAACATGTCTGTTTTGGTACTTTTTTCTTTTTGTTGATGTAGTTTTATTTGTTTTTCTTGTTTTCAATGAAGGTTTCTGAGTGCCGTGTTCATTCGCTCACGATTAGTCTGCTCGTTGTTTTTTTTTTGTGTGTCTCCTCTTTCACTTCAGGAAACATGTTCTTGATTTGTTTGAAGAAAACGTCGCCAGCTGAAGAATATTTTTGTGGCAGATTCCTTCAGGGAACGAATGCGGAAGAAAGAGAAAACTGGAATGATTTTGTCAAGATGATTTTATCCATTAGCCTGATCGACAGCGCCGCCGTGTACGTTGAGATGTTTCCCCATCCCCAGAAACTGTGCTGACAGGGGACTGAACACTCTCATTTACATATGTCTTTGTTATCGTGTTGTTTTTTACTCTTGAAAAGTGAACAAACAAGGAAGGAAAGAAAGAACACTCTACCACTTAAAGCACTCCTGTATTTGCCAATGCCAACCCAAAACAAACTTAAGGCTCCATACACTCCAGTCTCCTGATACCAGAAAGATTCTCTGTGCCTAAATACGGTGCCTTACATCTGCACACTGTACGTGCTACCTCGTGCTTTTCACTGTGCCTTTCATAACGATGTGAAGCCCACTGCGGTTGGCACAAAGAGAAACGTTTTCTCCTTTCCTGTTTCCAACGATTTGTAGTATTGCTGTGTTTTGGTGAGGTTTTTCAGTCTCTTCCCTGAGGTAGACTCCGTATCTCTGGCATCCCCTTCATTACCTCCAAACTGTGCTTGACTGAGCAGCACTCAAACGTATTTATAAAACGCAAGAGATTGTGTTCTACCAGATGAAGAAATGTTAAATACCAAGCACAAATTTGCGTATAAACTGGGCCAGTTTGGTGTTTTCTCAATTACTTATGTGTGACAGAGGTTTTCCTCGCAGATAAAAGCATTAAAAAAACTAAATAAACCCTCATGGATGATTAGTAGGCACTATTTAAAATATGCCGTGTGATGTTGGACCGGAGCAATACCTTGCGTTACGAGCAGCCTTGCAACTTTTTGCTAAAACCGACAAACGGAACAGATGCGAGCAGCTGCCGATCGTGAAGTCGCACTCCACAACAGCCATCTTTATAAAAGAGAATGCAAAACATTTGTGTACTAGATTGTATTTGTCGACCACTTTTTGGTAGTTTTTATTGTGTTTAAAGGGGCGTATTTTATTTGCTCGCCTCCACAGATTTTTGACTACTTTTTAAAAACACAAAACAACATGATGCGTCTGACTTTGAGAATTTCCTGCATCATGACTAAGTTTTATCTCCGAGTCGGTTCATGAAAAAGCAAGCAAGAAATATTTGTCTCATCTCACTCCGTTGTCTACTTGTTTAAAAAACTTTTTTCTCTCTCCTCTAAAACTGGATTGTTAGAAAAACAAACTGCTGACAACTGCTTTTATTATTTTCTTGTATGATGACAATATGTCAGGATATATTTAATATATATGCATTACGTGTTTTGTCTATGAAGTGAGAAGAAAAGGTATAATATATTCTAAAACATATTTCCTTTCTTTATCTACACCTTGTTTCGGGATTTAAAAGAAAAAGTCAGAGTAACAAAAGTAGAGAAACAATATTTTCTTTTTTTTTTTGCCAAAGTGTACAATAGTTTTGAAACCTTTCAAGGTTATTGTGTTTTTGTCATTGTGTGTCATATTCTGTTTGCTATTTTGTACTGCATTTGGTGTTCTGAGTGGGAACACGGAGACCTTCTTGTTTAGCTACATTTTTTTTTATCAGTGTCAGCTAAAAACTAAATCTGGTCCATTGCGGTGTTGCAACCCGTTGGCACTTTAAGCCGTTGGTTGTTGCAGCTAAACCGGTAAATGTCTGATCGTGATTTAGTTGCCATCCAAACTTCATGTGTCTGCCTCCCACTCAAAACGCCCGATTTTCTTTCTATTGCCTGCATTTGACCCACATGATGGCCGCGGGATGAACTCCTGCTCCTTGTGTCAGTGGGTGTTGTCACATGCCTAGTTTAATGTAGGTGTTGCCATTTAAACTCTTCCTAGTGTGTGCCTTATTGCCAAGATGTGCCCTTTGCTATTCCTTTGTAGACCTATGCAGACTGTTTTCTAGCTGAAGGTTTGTTTAAAAAAGAAGAAAAAAAAGCTTGTTCTGTATTATTATATTTATAGTGATGAAGTAGATAAATAAAGCATTTTCAAAAGGATGCACTGCCTACATTTATTTTGTTCGTATTCCCTTTTGTTTAGATTAAACTGCACAACCAGGACGTGCTTAAAGGGTCTGAAGTGTCCTGAAAGGTCCTCAGGCAGAGGACTTTGACTATGACCTCTGTGAATGAAAACCCATCCCTGACCCGACACATCGGCTACTATTAAGCAATGTGTCATCATGGGGAGAGCAGAGAGAGAGAGAGAGCAGTGCTGGGAGAATGTTTCATAAACTTCTCTGTGGCAGGTCAACTTTACTCTAGAAACATATTGTACCCAAAGGAGGAGTTCAGGGAGGCTTTAAAGTAGCCTTCAAACTGCAGTACAATGTGTGCAGGAGGGCAATCTGGTACATGGAGGACCTTTCAGCCAACTGTTTTACCGTTACAATGTGGTGAAAGGTTACAGAAAAACAACAACCTGCTAAACTAATAAATCTTATTTTTAATAGAACATACCAATCTGTCTCAAGTTAAATCATGATCTTTGGATATGAACTCTCACTCAGCTTCGTCCATGCAATGATCACCTTGCTAGTTTCTACAATAAATATTTGCATTTGACCATTCATATCACAACATGGATGCGATTTGGTAATGATCAGAGAAAGGTATAAATGCTGAATGTTTGGTAAATCCATCAGGGGTGATCAAACTATACTCAGAAGCAGCGTTGTAATGGTCTACCTCATAAATCGTGGCACATGATGGCGCATTATCTGCTTTTAATTATAACAAATATTGGTGTCAATATTGGTGATTCTGGCTCTGGTATTTAATGGTACCGGATCAAAAAACTAATTGAGTGGTTTTGCCCACCCCTCTTACTATAATCCCACGTGGGGGTTTGTGTGTCCACACAATTGAAAAAATAAAGTAAAAGGCAAGAATGAGTTTATTTCCCGTGATGATTATCTCCAACATACCGCCTGAATAAACACATCAACACCACACCTGCTTCACCACACTGACCGATGGCAAGAGAATGATTTTAAATCACGTGAGAGAGACATCGCGCTGTCAGAGTGGAGTTGTACATTTAAGACAGTATCGCCATCTGGTGGTGAACACACCTCATCAGAGCAGCCTGCAGCAGAGCCGTTCGGTGCATGTTTTCACTGGCAGCCATGTTAGCTCCACAGTCATCAGTGCAGAATATAGCAGCAAACGAAACATATTTAGTCTTTCTTGCAGTTCAAATATGAATTCACCACATGCAAGAAAGGGACATTATCCTACAGTCTGAGTGTTGAGACAAATATTGTGATTTATTTAGCGCAAAACACTAAAATACTGTAGGCTGGGGAATAAAATACACACAAAGAACACACAAAAAAGTAATTTTACCTGTTTTTCTGTGGTTTTAATGTGTGTAGCAGGGAAAGTCTTCTGCATGCATGGAACATTTTCACATAATTATATTTATAATAATTAGGCTGTTATTTATGCTTTTATGTGAAAGCTGTTATTTGTGCTTTTCATTTTGATGCGTTTGTGCTGTGGCCAAGACTCCCTTGGAAAAGAGATTTTGAATCGCAATGGGACTATACGGGATAAGGTTAAATATATATATATATATATATATATATATATATATATATATATATATAGTATAGATACTGTATTATTTATTGTGTTATTTGTTGTATACAATTCCATTCTGATCTTTTATTCCTATTTCGTTTTTAAAAAAGCAATAAAAGCACAAAAAATATAGAAATATCCTTAAAACAATGTCCAAGTTGTGTTGATCTAACTTGCACTACAGTTCCCATGATTCCCCGGCAGCCAACCGCGGGCGCGCTGTTTTTGCACGCCTGCTGCTGTCTTCACAGATCTATAAACAATGCAGCTAGGCTGACCCTATCTGCAAAAAGCTAAAGGGAAATCCTGATGATTTTTACAGCTGCTAAAATTCAGGACCGTTCCTGAACGTAACCTCAGTTTATATTTGGCTTAAAGGAGACGCAACAAAGCGCACAAAATGGTTGTGCGTCGGGCCCGGGCGAATAAGTAGGTTTACTATAGCTTTAAGAACGCAAAAATAGTGTCTGCTTCTTTAAAATGATATCGGTTTATTGCTGAATAGATAATTAAGAAAAGTTTTCAATTCCTAATCAATAAATATATGCATTTTATTTGCGACGAACCCAAGGCATTCACAGAAAATGCCCCAGTGTTGGATAAAGGCCGCTCGCAATCAAAACAAACGTCTCTAAACCAGATGTTGTCCGTTTTTACTCAAATTGCTAGTAAACCTGCTCGACTTTAAGCTGAAGTGGAAGTAGGCTGAGGTGTCCTCACGGTGATGGAGCTGGTGGGCAACCGAACCGGGGGTGTAAATAAAGGTGACGATCCGGCGGAGGACAAGGCCGCAGAAGAGACCCCGGCCGCCAGTGCGACCGTTACCCCGCGGAGGGGGCTCAGAGAGCGGGGAGCATGCCGCCCAAGGTCTGGCGTCTCCGCTTCGTTAACAGACGTCAACGGAGCAGCGTCGAGCCCACAGAGCTCGGGGCGGGTTTTGAGAGACCGGTCAACGAGGGCAGTACCGGCCTGGCTGAAGGACACCAAGAGCGACGACGAAGACGAACCGAGCGCGGACACCGGTGCGACCAAGCGGAGGAAAGTTTCCAACTCGAGGCGGAAGAAAAATTCCGAATCTGCGGGTTCTGCCGAGGCTGGAGGGGGGATCGCAGGTGACAGCCTTCAAGGGACAGAGTACGTTTTGAATTGAACAGTCGTAGCTAATAGTTTGTTTATAATGAGCAGGACTACACTTAAAACCTGTGTTTATTTCGGCGGGGTCAGTTCCTGTCAGACGCAGCCTTCACATAGCTCGTCCCCTTTCTGCAGCTCTGCATGGGGAGGGTGGAGTGAAACTCACCTGGCTTTACAAATTGACACTTTATTTATTTTTATTCCACTTTAAAACTTTTAAATGCATTGCTGCGTCAGAGGAAAAATGGGAATGGTGGCATGTCAGGTCTCAGTGTTTTTGTTTTCTTCCTTTCTTGCAGCTCAGAGGACCCGAAGAAACCTGCCACAGATGCTCAAGGTAATCAGACACTCATTGATGCTCTCTTGCTGAATCTACATTTAAGTGACATCGTATGCTGTGTATGTGAAGTGGGTTTCCAACAGAGCTGCCCTTGTGTGTGATTGTGTCTGCACTTGCCTGTGCCACACTTCATGGCACACGGTGTGTTTGATGGCGTGCTGTTCTGCTCCCTCACTCCAGCTCTACCCTCCAGACGCCCCCCAGCCCAGAGCCGTGCCAAGCCCCCGTCTGGCAGGGCCGTCCGCGGCTCTGCCAAGCCTGTGTGTAAGACCGAACCCGGAATGGAGACTCCAGCTGGTGAGCCACCCGTTGACAGTGAGCCACAGTGATTCAACATGTGGGCTCATAGTACACAAGTCATATCATACAGATGCAGGATATTATATCTTCAGGATGTTCTATCTTCAATAGAAAACCTTCAGTTGTGATTATGGATTTTCAGCGTGACTAATGGGATCAGTGCTGCTTTTTGAGCTACAAATGTGGGTGCAATCTTTTCTTGGTCCCTCTCTTCTACTTCCAATAACTCATTGGAGTTGGGTTTATGCTCGTCTTAGTGTCTCCCGCGAGACAAAAATGATGTCATCACGTATTTTGCGTAAAAAGCACAAAAGTACCGCAAATTTCTGTAAGTTGGCACACACTGCGCGCTGACATCACTCCCACAAGTACTGATGAAAGCAAATAACTTCAATTCAGAAGTAAAATTATGAATTCATTTTTGCTTTTAAGAAGTCTCAGGATTTTGGAAAGGACAATTAGTTTTTAAATGCTTTATAAACAGGAGACCTTAAAAATCTACATTTGAGGTATTGTATTAATGCGATGAATATTTGATACAAAATATGTTTAGTTATTTATATAGTTCCTCCTCAGCATCCAGAACTTGCATGTTTTTGGCAATAGCGTTCTTGACGTCTTGCTTCTTAACAGAACTTTTTTTTTTTTTTGCAGTCGACTGCAATAATATGTCTCCATGCTTTCATGCCTTTTCTCATTTTGCATCACTTATGCAAACGTATACGTATATCTATAACTCAAGGCTCGAGTGGCTTACGGTGCTTTTGTTGCCTCTCTCATACTTATGATGTCCTTCTTTTCTCTGTTTGTCGTGCAGCAGTGGAAGGAGAGGTAGAAAATAAAGACAACTATGAAATGTAAGTATATATTCCCTCCTTTGGTGAAACCTAATGTGCACATTGTGAACGTTAAGGCTCCAGGCTCAGTGAGCCAGACAGAGTTAGAGACCACGCAATGGCTGGAGATGCATCCTTCTAAAAACATCCCACTTATTCCTTGCCGTAGACCGCTTCAGTTTTATTCAGTAGCTATGTGGGAAAGTTTGTCTTGTGTTATTTAGTGGAACTGACCCTTTAAAGAAGTGGTTATGTAGGATCACACTCTCGGCTTTACGGACAGTAACACAGAGATAGAAGCTAGTGGTATATATTTATTTGGTCTGACTCTGTGGACTATATATTTTAATCATACATGTAATAGCTTTATTAGAGAAGCTGCATAATATCTTGCCAGGATATTTACGGCCCTCTGAGCCTGTTGCTTTGAAAGCATACTGCTTTGCATGTCGTCACGGTGTGTGACTGAGTGAGAGTGCTGCTGTGTTTTGATGACCGTCGCGTTTTTTTCGCTCGTGCTGTCTCAGTCAAAAGAAAGAGGGAAGCGAGGACGCCGCTGAGCCGGTCTTGGGTGATGCAGACCCTCCGTTTGGGGATGACCCGAGCGACCTCAGCTACCAGCCGCAGAGTCACAGGTACGCTCGTCTCAACGTTCACCCGACCCTGAGCAGACCGACCGCAGGGAGTTCTGTTTCAAGAGATTTTGTTCTTTTGCTCCCAGTGGTGCGGAGGAAGAAGAAGGTCTCAGCAGCGATGAAGATCTCCCCTTTACAGATGACCTAAATGACCAGAGCTACGACCCCAATGCTGAGCGGTGTGTGTGAGTGTCTGTGTGTGTGTCTGACAGAATTAGACAAAGGCATTGTATTTTTTGGTGTTCAGTGACGGGACATTCCTCCATCTTTTTTTTAGGGATGTCCCGAAACCAAAGCGCAGAGCTCCCCCGAGACCCAAGGAGAGGAAAGAGAAAGAGAGGGCACCTAAAAAGGAGAAAGAGGTCGCCGAGATAAAGATAGAGGGTTTGGACAACGTGGAGGGTTTGGAAGAGGAAGTAAAGCTAGAGGAGGAACTAGTAGAGGACCCGGATGGACCCAGGAAGTAAGTGTTACCAATGTACTTTTAGTGCGTGCGTGGTTACAAAGCAAACTCCTTGCTTTTCCAACTTAATTTTTGTATTTTTCTTCTTCTTCTCCCCGTCTGTGTTAGGAGAGGTCGGCGGAAAAAAGACGACAAAACCCCGCGGCTGCCAAAGAGGAGGTGAGGTTGAGGGGTCTCAATCCAAACTTTATTCCGTGATCTAAAGACTCACTCCGTCATTATTTCATTCCAAAATAAAGCACGTGGTAGTGGCTGCTGAATGAAATAACTGAACAAATGAATTTGGATGAGCGAGATATTGATGAGAACTTTTGAGACCCATTTAAACTCCGGGTAAAGTAAAATCAGTTGGTTTCTAACACATCACACATATGAGAAAAGACTGAACTATATAGTACTTAAATGTGGAGTTTGAACATTAAACAGTTTTGTGGGCGGGCCTGAAGTCATGGCTCGATGATGCACTGGAGCCATTTTTAGCATCTCCCCCAACACTGAACAAAAAATTATGTCGTGCATGAGAGTGTGTGGCGGGTGCTCTGGGCTTCGTCGCTATTTTTGCGGCTGTAAAATGACGGATAAATAGCCTTAAACCTCACAACTCCAGCAATTTGATCAATTCAGACCGATAGCATTGGTAAAGTCGAGAAGAGCCGCGCGATTTAACTATTATATCCCCATTGGAGTAAGCATGGGGCTAAGCCGGCAGTTAGCCGGCAGAAGTCTCTGGCGTGCGTGCTCATAGACTCAGAACATCAATTTGCTTTACTCACACTTTAATATTTGGTCTCGGCGCTGTGACGTTTCAATGACACGTGCTACGCCCCACACAGGAAGAAGCCGCCGGTGCAGTACGTGCGCTGTGAAATGGAAGGATGCGGGACGGTCCTGGCTCATCCTCGCTACCTGCAGGTCTGTCTCAGCAAGCACACAATCCTCCCGAGGACTACTTGCCTCACTCGAGCACACGCAGCGATTTGAAGACTTTTCCAAACATTGCTGTCAACCGTAAAGGGTTATTTTCATTGAAGATAAATCTGTCGCTTTTTTCTACTATGTATGTATGTATGTATATGAATGACTCGACCATACAACTTGACAGAAAGACAGAAAGCTTTCAGGTCTGTTTTCAGTCGGCTAGCTCCTCCATCCTGCTGTTGATGATGATCTGTGTTTCTTTTTGTTCTGCACACCAGCACCACATAAAGTACCAGCACCTGCTCAAGAAGAAATACGTCTGCCCTCATCCCTCTTGCGGACGGCTTTTCCGACTACAGAAGCAGCTGCTGCGTCATGCAAAGCACCACACAGGTACACCCACAGTGTTAACGTAACACATGGTTCCATCTGTGTCTGAGCCCTTCCTGCTATAATTAATGATGAATTGTGTTTTGTTGCTTCTAGACCAGAGGGACTACATCTGTGAGTTCTGTGCTCGTGCCTTCAAGAGCTCCCACAACCTGGCTGTGCACCGCATGATTCACACAGGAGAGAAGCCCCTGCAGTGAGTACTTCTCAGTTACATTGCTCATTTGCTTTCTCCGCTCACCGATTCCTTCAGTTTTCCAAAATGAATACATGCGTTTTTTTTCTCTGGATCTGTCGCCGTAGGTGTGAGATCTGTGGCTTCACGTGTCGCCAGAAGGCGTCGCTCAACTGGCACATGAAGAAGCACGACGCGGACGCCACCTATCAGTTCGCCTGCTCCATTTGTGGCAAGAAGTTCGAGAAGAAGGACTGCGTGGTGGCCCACAAGGCCAAGAGTCACCCCGAGGTGCTAATTGCCGAGGCTCTGGCAGCCAACGCCGGCGCCCTCATCACAACCCCCGTCTCCCTGCTGGAGCTGCAGGGAAACCCCATGCAAGCAGAGGTCGCCGGCCTGGATGTGAGCCAAATAGGGCAGGACGGGCAGGTGGACCAGCTGAACCACGAAGGTCAAGTTGCTCAGCTGGGTCACGTGACCCAACAGGTGAGTCACCAGGTGGTTTTACTGGGACAAGACCAGAGCCTCCATACCATGCAGGTGCCTGTGACGATTGCCCTGTCCCCCATCGACCCGCCTTCGCCAGCGGAGAACCATCAGCAGACCCACCTCCAGCTCCAGATGCCCGTCCAGTTTGTGCAGGCTGCTCAGCAGCCCCAGATCCAACAGCTGACCCTCCACTCCAGCCAGGTGGTGAGCCAGCATCAACCCCAGTTGCACCCCCTGCAGTCGTACTCCTCCCAGCAGCAGAGCCAGGGGCAGACTCAAATCCTTCAAATGACCTTCCAGCCAGTCAGCCAGTCTCAGACCCACATTCTATCGACCTCTCAGCAGCTTCAGACCCTACATACAGCTGCTCTCCTGTCCCAGCCCCAGGACCCGGCCTCCACTAACGGGGACAACTTTATTCTGGACAATCCGGTGCTCTCTTCGGCCAGCACCCTCGTGCACACAGAAGTAATGGGGGAGGACGGCGTGGTCTGGGAGCAGGCAGAACACGAGGACGTTCTGTCGGACAGCACCGGGAGACACGCGCAGCAGTCCCTCATGTGAAAGACTAACGATACAAACAGACGATAGAGGCAGGTCGTCATCAGTGACCTGATATACTGCATTGCAATGTTTGAGGTAAATGTAGGATCACGCATATATTACGTACCGGTCACTCATAGTCATATTTGGTAGCTTTTTAGAATATCTGTATCAGGGAACGATGTATATGTGTCCGTGTGTGTGAGCTGTTGCCTTTGTACATAGTCCTGTAAACTGAACTAGCCTTTTACGTGTGTGTGTGTTCAACGATGTCGAGTTTATGTTGCAAAGATGTTGCTATCGTGCAATAATATAGCATACCTCTGTGATATACAGCGCACACCTAGTGTGTGTGTGTGTTCCTAATGAAATAAATCAGCTCTATTTATATCATGAATTAACACAAAACACATATTAAGAAGCTATAAACCGACCTCAACCTGTGTGGGGTGAGAAAATTCTGTTTAAATGGACAGGCAGCTATTTTTTTCTTCTTTTTTTCATTTAATGTCCAGGTCTACTGTAAAGCCTTTATTTGGGGAGGTTAAAAGAAAAATACGACAGAAAACTATCTTAAGAGAAACATTTCAAAACCAGAAAAGAAAAAGATGTTTTACAGCTCTGTAAAAAATATGCACATTTTAGCGATCTGGGCAGTGCCATTAAACCTGTTTCACCGGCCACCGCATGAGCTCAGTGTTGGTAGACGAAGGAATAATGACCCACCTAGTGTGTGTGTGTGTATGTGTGTATGTATGTATATACATATATATATATATATATACATACATATATATATATATACATATATACACACACACACACAGAAGTCCTCGTCCGTCATAGGCAATCAAAGGTGAGCTTAGATGCTGTAGATCACACGCGAACCCGTAAAATAACTGCAAGCACAGTCACTGAATTAGACTTATTAAAAGTGTAATGTCATTTGGTAAGCAAAGCTATGTAGAAACCTCGGGGCATATGTCAATACTAAACCTGCACCTCTTCTGGTTTGTGATTTAGGGTGTGTGGTAGAGCAAACACGAAAAACTGTTCATTTATAAAGATGAAAATAAACGTCTTAACATTTGTCCAAAGTGTATTCACTCACAGTAATGAACACAAACCCAAGCAATCCCACAGGATGTCTTGAACTGGGACAATTAGAGTTTGTTGCAGGAATAAAATTGTAAATTGCTTTGAACAAAAAGCGTCGCCGAATGTAATGTAACTAATGACCAGCTGAGTCATTAGCTGGTCCTATAAATGGTTAGTGCTCAATATCTACAGCATGTATATACACTCTGAGAGAACATTCCAGTACTATTGCTTTACAGTATAATGGCTGAGAACACACCATCAGGACATGTGGAGCTGCTCTTTGTCCCTCTGCGTGGCATACTGCTTCATAGCTCGTTTAGGAGGAATCAAGGTGTTACTCAGTCCGACCTTCCTCTTCTTCATCTGCTGCCCTCCTGACTCTTCCTCCTCCTCTTTGGTCTGCTGGAGGTTCTGGGATGCTCCACCACGTGAGCCACCTGCGCGGGACTCTGCCTGACCCGACCCCGGCGTCTCCTCGCTCACGGGCGGGTGACTGTCAGCGAGAGTCTGGAGGTCGCTGTCATGAGCAAACTTGCACTTGATCCCAAACCTGCACCTTCCGTTTTTCCTGTACGACACGCACACCTTCTTACCTCCGATCTGGGAGGGTTTGGCCTGCATTGTGAGGGGGACGTGTTTTTGCAAGGCGCTGAGCTTCTGGTCCGCCTGCGCCTTGAAAGGATTGGCAAACACGCCGCTGTCAGAAGAGGTGTTCAGAGAGGGAGGAGGTAGTTTGTGGGAGGCGAGGAAACCCGGAGGAGAGGAGGGCACGGTGCGCCGGCGGGCTGCAGAATATGCCGGCTTTTGGGGATGCGGTGGCGATGAAGAGGGCTCCGGGTCGGATTCGCTGGAAGCTGAACCAGACTCCAGCATAAAGTTACGGGTCTTTTTGACAGCTGATGCCTCGCCACCAGTCTCCCTAAAGGAACTTAAAAGATTAAAAAAAGGGTGCAGATAGAAACGGAGACGTTAAAAGCATATACTAGCTTAGTAGCATTCACAAGTATCTGACAATCTGTTATGTGCTAGGTGTTTTTTAGGGGAATACTTACCAAACTCCACCGTTGTTTGCATCCTCTACATCTCCGTCGCTGTCGGACTCCGAGGACACTCCGTAGCCAACCAGAGAGTTCATGGCTTTAAAATCAACTAAGCTTGCTATCTGGTTAGCTTGGTCTCAAAATTAAAGCACACTAACGCTGTTCCTTGGTTTGCGAGAATCTCACTGTGAACTGTTGGATGCATTAAAATAATACCGCGGAGAAATATTTAACGTCAATCATTCCCATTTCCTCTTTTAACGAGTTAAGCGTCAAATTTTAAGGTCGAACGTTAGCTGCTGCAATGTAGCCGCTGCGCGGTGTTTACATTCTAGCCGCCTGCACTGACACCTGCAGCACAGGCGTGGTATTGCATCCTTATCACTGATCCAGGAACTAATAGGAAAGGAAATTCACTATATTTTACATACAGGATGTCATATAGTGCAGTATAATCCTCATACATGTATTATTTTTGCATTGCAGAATATGTTTTTGAATAAATTATGTTTGATAAATAAGTTGTGAATAGTGGTATTTTTTATCATTTAAATTGCAAAGTTGCCTCTACAATCTGCCTACAGCATACAACACCATCTATCATAAGAGCCTCAATTTTATGGTGTTTATGACAATGTGTATTTTTCAATATCCAGATTTGGCTGTTGCACAACTAAATGCTAAGGTTCAAATTAAAGCATGTCAAGTTAGGACGTGTCGACCCAGTTACTTTTGACATTTTACATATGAACTGTCTTTAATGTAATTTGTTATGTGAACACATCAGTCCCCAAGAAAACATTATTTGAACTTTGCATGTGTGTGTGTTTGTTAAAAGTCTCCAGGGTTCTTTTTAAATTAATCCACTATCTCGCTGGATTCATACCTGTGCTAAATCAGTATTGTCACCTTATGGAATGAATTCATAAACTCTGTATATCACAAATTGTTTAAGATAAGTTTAATGACAAAATCCAAGTGGACATTTGTCCGGACAGTTGTCTTGTCAAACACTGGTACTAATAGCCAACAATTACAGCGGCTGCATTCCATTCACACACGCTTGCTGGAGGGTTCTGGCATTGTGCATGTTGGCTTACTGACATGGCTTCCTGGCCGTCTAAATGGAACAAACCCATCAGTTATGTCATTGGTTGCACCTGTTGCTTTTCTGCTATGACAATTACATTTTATTCTATTTTTTGTATCTATGAGCAGGTCTCCAATATGCAGATACAGAGGCTACATTTATTCCAAATTAAAAGCTGTAGCAGACCTCTTATCTTTACTGTATTGCCCATTAACACCAAGATTATATTTGAATGAAGAGAAGACATCGTTCAAATTACCATAATAGTCTTTTATTGGTACTTACAGTTTTGTGACGGTACGGTACAGAATGTTTTTTATAGCAATATTACTTTATACAAATGGCCAATAACAAGTAAAGTTCTGCATTTAAAATATGACTTACAGTATGCAGTCATTTAAACTGGCCCTGTCAATGTTGTAATAGTAGCCTACTTGATGCATACATCGGGCCGAAGCAGTAGCCTACTTTAGTGTCATTGGTCGAGGTGAAGGTAATTTGAACTACTTTATATTGTGAAGTTTAATCTACAACAATCATACTTTATAGACATATAAAGTATGCTAAAAGTAAAAAAAAAGTAGTCAAAAAGTCAAAGTAGGCCTATATTTCCAATGTTTCCGGTACAGACTCTTTGTATACTTTTCCTCATACAGAGGACATGTTCAAATAGTCCAGGCAGCATCCTTCTTAAGTTGAGACCGTCTTTGTTTCTGCCACTTCCAGTAAATCAGATAAGCTCCTCATGAATTAGTTGATGAGCTCCTCCCTGCCCTCTCCTCCCCTCCGCGGCTCGCCGCCCCCGCTCGTCCCGTTAAATTCCTCCAGCCTGGCATCAAGTTCCCGGAGGGCGGAGAGTTGGCCGCCAACTCTGTAATATCAGTAACGGAGCAGCGAGCGGACGAAAACTGGGAAACTCGCTTTACCCGAAACCCCGAGGAGACGAGACGGCTCTGGCTCGAAGTGAAACCATGACCGGGAATCCGGTGCCGGGATGGGGCGTTCGTGCGCGGTGCGTATAATACAGGGACTTGTCGCTTCGCCTGCTACGAGTGCGGTTCTCGTGTGTTCCCCGGTAGAGGCAGCCGGAGGGCCAATAATGGCAGCCAGGCGGACTAGAGGGGTGACCGGCTCGGACCTGAGCCGGACTACCGTGGCCCGCGCTACCGCCATAGCCGAGCAGCTGCGCTACGAGTGCTCCATCTTACTGGAACTTTATGTGAGTAGAGAGGCTTGATGTTTCCACTTGCACCGACCAGCCAGCACAACTCGGTGTGTGTGCGTGTGTGTGTGTGTGTGTGTGTGTGGCTGTAAGGGAGAGTAAGAACTAGGCCAAGGTCAAATGGGAAATTAATAGATTTTTTGTGTGTGTGAGTGTGTCATGGGTGTCCTCTGTGTCCTCATGCCTGTAACTTTGCTTGTGCGTGTGAATGTGTTTGAAGAAGTACACTGACGATGAAAGGGATGCGTGCAAAAACAAGATAAGAGTGTGTGTGTGTGTGTGTTTGAGAAAGAAAGAAATGATGTCTAGGACAGCGGGGGGTAGGAATGCAGAGAAGGGGGGGTGAACTCAGTTGGAATGATAGGAGTGGGCGTTTTTTTTTTCTGGCACAAACTCCTTGGCACTCTGGGCCCGGAGCCTCCATCTCTGTTCCACCAGCCCTTCGCCTAAAGGTGCGAGCTACCGGTTATTAAAACTTTCTTGGTGTCCCGCCAATTCGCCGCCTCGATCCTTCCTTTCATGCGTCTCGCTAGGAGCGAGGAAGCGGCCTGGCATATGCCTCCATCCTCCTCACTCCCTGGGTCTGACCCCTGCGTTCCTCTATCCTCCACGTTTCTTATTTTGCTCACACGGGTTTATCTTGCGTCACTGACTTGGCAGAGCAATCGCTTTTTGGAACAACCGATGCATTCCACTGAACGCACCGTGAAGTAATTAGATGTGTCTTAGCCTGTCGTACATAAATTGGTGGGTGCATTTGAGGCCCGCGTTTTCTGTCGGCGGGGAGGAATTGTCTCTGAAGTAGGATTTAATTCAGTCTTTGGCTCGTAGATCTCCCATGAATCCAATGCAGATTCAATAATTGTCCAGGCAGAGTATTATTTTCCCAGACCGGCAGTCCCTCACCTATTCACTGGGTAAGAAGAAAAACTAATTTGCAACATCCGTTTGCTGTCTCTTTAATTCAGCGTCTACCGCATTATAATAATTCTCTCTGGCTCCAAAGCATCCCCCCCCCCCCCCCCCCCCCCCCCTCCCCCCCCCCCCCCACACACACACACACACACCTCTCAGAGCGTTCGGGGTCACATTAGGTCACTCTGTCACTCTGGTACTAACTTGCATGCAGGGCTTAACATTAACGCCTCAGGATGATGGCCCGAAGGATTCACAAGCACTAAAAGATGATACCTACAGTCTCGCCTGCAATGTGTCGCGTCAACATCGTCAGTCCGATCATGATGTCGGATCTTAATGTATAGCTCATAGCTCTGAGAGTATAAAGGCGATAACTTATTTTTAAAATGCTGTCAATCAAAGGTAGATATACAGTATGGATTTTATATTAATGTTAAATGAATAGTTCTATATTTTGGCAAATAGGCCTATTTGCCTCCCTGCAGAGAGTTAGACGACAATATCGATACCACTCTCATGTCTGTGCGCGGTAAATATGAAGCAACCGTTAGCTTAGCATAGCATAAAGACTGGAAACGGATGGGGAAACAGCTAGCCTGGATCTGTCCTGAGATAAAAAAGACTTCTGCCTGTTAGCACCTCTAAAGCTCACCAATCCAAATGTTGTACCTCGTTTATTTATTTAATCCGTCAAAAAAAAAAAACAACTACTAGCTGTAGCTTCATTGAGCTTCAGGATCGATCTTCTCAGCTAACTCTCGGCAAGAAATTTTTCAAAAAATTTTAAAATGTATTATACTATATTGATCCCTTTAAGGAGGAAATTTGTCTCTGCATTTGACCCATCCCTGTATATAGGGAGCAGTGGGCTGCCAATGACAGGCGCCCGGGGAGCCTGGGGTTCAGTGTATTGCTCAGGTACACTTTGACACATGACACGTCCCAGTCGAGGATCGAACCGTTGACCTTCCGGTTGCCAGACAACCCTCTTAAACCAGTTACTCTTTTGTCAATATTTCATTCATTTTAACACGATAGCCTTACTTTTATAAGGATATCGTGTTATTTTACGTCTTTTTTCTTCTTACAGTATATATAATTGCATGTGCTGCATTGAGAGGAGATCTATGTTGCCCACAGGCTGTATATACATTAAGAAGTGAACGTATTCATCGTGACGTCGCCCTTTAGTTTGTGGTCTGCCGTTTTGAAGCTTGGTGTTCGGCAATTTCGCTGTCACTATCTTGGATTACGGCCGTTGCCATGTAGTTTTTTTTGCTCCCATTGAACAGAAGTTACCATATTTGGAATGAGGAGGAGTGACATAGTGACGCCGTATACGTCTCTGGTAGCAATCACATTAAGCCCATCCTAAAGCATACCCTGCTTTATGGTCTATTTGACTCTAAATGGACCATCATTTACTAAATGAACATCATGCTGAACATCAGACTTGAAACTAGAGATTGAGACCATAAACTCATGTTTACAATGTTTACTGAGGTAATAAATCAAGTGAGAAGTAGAGTTATTTTCTCATAGACTTCTATACAATCTGACTTATTTTTGTAACCAGATGAGTCGCCCCCTGCTGGTCAGTAGAGATAATACAAGTTTTAAGACACTTCCGCATTAGCTTCACTTGACAGAACCAGAGGTTGCCTCCTGGTGTTGCCTCATAGACAATGATCTGTGATAGAGTGCCAAATTGCTCAAAAGTGACATCAGTGTGGTTAGTATTTAATAGAAAGCATATTTTTATTTTTCCACTTCACTTTCCAACTCCTCCTCTTCTTCCTTTTCGGCATGAATGCCTTCCCAAATCTCACTTCTGTTCTTAATTTCCCAACACCCTTTTTTGTTTTCTCTTGTCCCCCCTCAAGACAAAGAAGGAGAGTTTTGTTGCAGATGTTGCCGACGGTCGTCTGGTGTCCGTACCTCCCCCTTCCTCCCAGCTGGACACCAGGGACAAGCTCTGGCGTCTCCACTCCGCTCTGCTCCAGTGCCGCAGCTTGCTGGAGAGCGCCATCGCCAGGGAGGAAGAGGAGCTGGGCGGTGGGGAGAAGGGCGACTACGAGACCCAGAGGAACATGGTGAAGAGCAGTCTGTCCTTCCTCCTGATCACCACCGGAGAGCTCCTCAAAGCCGCCGACGGCGCGGCGGTCCCGACCCCTGGCGTGGAGGGCTTAGAGGTAGGCACTGCTGTCGACATCATTGATGATGATGATGGTGGAAGTTCTAGAGAGACATTAAGGCAGATCTTGGTGACCCCCCCACCTCTTTTTCTTGTCAGCAGTCAGTGGGGTCGACCGGTCTGTTTGAGCTGAAGCTTTGGGTGTACCGGATCTTCAAGGAGGTGGACTACTGGACCAAGACGGCCATCACCACTTTACAAGCGCTGCCCTCTGTGATCGTCAAGCGGGCGAGGACCACGCGAGTCCGGAGTGTGAGAAGCGCCCGGCGATGAGACGGGAGAAGTGTGTGTGTGTGTGTGTGTGTGGGCGTAGAGAAACTAATGAGAGAGAGAGAGAGGTGAGAGAGATAGGTGAGCGCAGGAATCAGAAGATGAAGGAAGGTGAAAAACTGACATATGTGGTGTGAAAAAGAAAGAGATGAGTGAAAATAGCCAGCCGTGATAGTGAGACACAGATCTCCACTGACGGGGAGATGAGTGGGTTGAACAGAGGCCTTAGACAGAGAGGGAGCAAAAGACAATAACCATGTTCGTCATAGCTAATAACAACATCTGTTGGAACGAGTTTATTTGAAATACGGCACAGTCTAAGACAACTTTATATTTATTGTTTAGCTTTTAAGACGACATCTAAGGATGCGTCGAGATTGAAAGATAAGAAGCAGAGTTTCTTTCTTTCTTATTTTGGTATTGAGGAATCGTAACGTCATTTAACTGCAACTCAAGATGCATGCAGCTGTTTTTCTCACCTGCCAACGTCAACATCCCGTGCCCCC